GTTCTCTTTAGAGTATGATTACTAATAAAAGAAAGGATATTATGCATCAGGTGTCAAAATTCCGGAATCAATAATAAAATTCAGTTTGAAGAGAGGCTCAGTTGTTCAAAAACGACGAAAGAGCAAAGAGAGTATTGCAATTAATCCTGTAGAGATGGCAAAAGAAAAATTTCAGATAGCTGCAAAAGCAGGATGTGATCTTGGACTCAAATGGCTTTGCAAGGTTAGAAGAGGAAGAGAAGCGATTACTCACCCAAGAATTTTAAGGTTTAAATTAGGAGAAAAAAATTTTCGTCATCGTAGGAGTTAGCTTCTCTAAAGCTAATCAAATTCCTTTAGAGTAGGCAATTGTGCAAAATTAGATGAATAATACTAGTAACTACATTTTCAACACGGTAGTTTTTATTGATTAAAATTCACGCGTTATACCAAATTTAACCGGAGGAACCCATGTTTATTTTAATTAAAAAATAGAAGTGTTGAAAAATGTGTGAGTGTGTGTGCTCAAATTAGGTACATGAGATGCTAGCAATAGTTCAATAATACCAATTCTTGAGTGTGCCAGAAGATTATTGATATTTCATATTGTAACTTTTTAAAGTAAATATCTAAATCCTGATTTATTGAATGTGAGATTATGCACAAAAGACATGTATATACGAACTATATAACTTAAAATTGAAGCAAAATGACTAAATTAAAATTCTCCATAGGATGTTTATGTTTGAATCGATTTTGAGGAAAAATCATTCCATCTAAAAATAAAATTATTTGTCGTTCGGTTTTGATGAATTATAAAAAATAAAAATGTACTAAATATTAACGAATAATACGTTAAAATAATATATTTATTAACAAAGGAATAAATAAATAAATATTAAAATATATACATGCAGTTCGATTTGGATTGTTTTTAAAAAATAATTTTGAAATTTGATATTATATAAACGGTTTTTATAAAAGAATTCAAATATATCTAAAACAATTTAATTTTTGCAATTTTCCATTTTTCCAAATCTATTTGCGGATTTTATTTGATCCATCTGAATTTGAAATTCTTATATATACTATTTCACCTGGTATGATTAATTGGAAGTGTATGTTGAAGGAAAATTGCGATCTAAACGCAGCGGAAAACAAAAATTTCCTTTAGTGATCCTTACGAATGAGCATGGTCAGTGATAGAATGGTTACCTCTTTGTGGCGATTCAGATCTTTGATGCAGCGATCACAAGCGTTGATGAAGTGCAACGCCTCTACTCAGTCCACACGAACAGCTTCCGGTCACAGTGCTAGCTGCTTACGAACGGAATTATTTGAGTGAGAAAAGAGAATCAAAACCGAAATTGCATCAAGTGAAAGCTTCATCACAAGGGTTCCTTTTATAGACTCTCTTGTGGGCTGCGGGCTAAAAACCCAATTCACATGATCCATAATAATATTATATATTATTATAATAACTATTATTATAATAAATATATTTATTTTATTATTATTTTATAACCATTATAAAATAACAATAATTATTATTATATTATCCGAATTTCTATTTTTCACTTAAGTGCACCGTACCTTACGGTGTTCCTTTGATTTCTCTATCTCTCATCAAACTGTCCTTATGTGTGTGACCCTGTAGGATTTCGTAACGTTGGTAATTATATTAAATTATATATTTAACATAATAAACAGTAAGCGGTATCTAGCAACACATCACTGCTACCCAAGTCACGAAAATGTCATGTGATCTGACAAAACCTTTTCGTGATAATATATGTTTGTACAATTACCCTTTTGCCCCTATGTCTATATTGAACACAAGGCATACACTGTGTCATCCTTGTCCAGTTCAATATTGGGCCCTTAGACATTTCTCCTGTTATGCAGGATTGGCAAATTCCATCTAGGACACTCATGTCCCTCAGCATGCTTCGTGGAGTGCCCATCAACTGTCTTTATGATCATCCAGTTACGGATAATGTTTGATCAGCAATAAAGCACCCGACTCTACATCTAGGGTCAATAGTGGTTTCAGGTCGAAGGGTGGTAATACACCATTATCACCATGAGAATAACTTATGACACTTTGCATAACATACTATGTAGTATTCTCATAGCGGGTCAATCCGGTATAAATATTACTCCTAATATTTATACCTATGTCAAGACTTGATAACTCTTTATCCATGATCCATGAGATGTGATCATCAGTCTATCTTCATAATAGTCTCAATGCTTTTAATGTTATCCCACTTTGCAATAAAGCTTGACTACGGATATTTTAAGAATAATGTCTTTATGTTTAATGGGATCTCATGATTAAGTCACACTTAACATTTCATTAAACAAACTAACTATTCTAGGGACTTTATTATTCTGAAAGACAAACATAATAAAGAAATGCCTTTTATTATTAAACGAATAATCCGATACAAGTACCAAAAAGTATTGGCCTCTAGGGCTTACACCAACATATGTAACTTTTAACCAAAATATCCCATATTTCTCGGTTCTATGTCTTGTTTTCTTTATATATAGTACTAGCAGTACAAACCATTTTATACAAATAAATACAATTCTATTTTACTGTAATTTATCTTATTTTCGTATGTTTTTCTTACAAATACATTATAGTTTCTTAGTTTAATTTAAATTAACATACTTTATAGTCGAGATAAATTTCCTTTTTCAACATAATACAATGAAGAAAGAAAAAAGAACTTGATAATAATTGATTCAAGTCCTCTTATCTGAGAGAACATGATGCAGGGGTGAAACAAAAGATTTTTTCACCTAAATAACCAAGTTTTCACACTATAATTTCCAATCTACCCAACTTTCCAATATATTCTCCAATCTATCCTACTTTTGGATTTTTTTTATTTTTTTTTACAAAGGGGCGCCATGGGGGTTGGAGCCTCCCTTATAATTTGTATGGGGGCGCCATGGGGGTTGGAGCCACCCTACAAATTATAAAGGGGGCGCCATACCCATTGGAGCCTCCCTTAAACGAAATTTAAAAGGGGGCGTCATACCCATTTGATGGAGGGTGTAGATGGGGTCACATGACCACAAATCTTGTAGAATCCCTAAACGGCGTATTTAAGGGAACTAGGAACCTCCCCATCACAGCGTTGGTAAGGGCAACGTATTACAGATTGGGGTCACTATTTGCAGCAAGAGGCAAAAAATGGAGCGCTGTACTGCAATCAGGGCAAATATTCAGCGAATCAAGCATGAAGTATATGGGGGATGAAACTTCTAAGGCGGCCTCACATCGAGTTAGACCATTTGATCGTCACGATTACAGCTTCATTGTTGATGAGACAATGGATCACAACGAGGGTCGGCCAATGGGACACTACAGGGTGGAACTTCATAAAAATTGGTGCGACTGCGGAAAGTTTCAAACCTTCCGCATGCCTTGTTCACATGTAATTGCCGCATGTTCAACTGCTCGTCAGGATCCATTCTTGCAGCTATCAGAAGTTTACAAGGTCGTGAACTTATTCGGTATCTACAGTAGCAGTTTTCCAGTGGTAGCTAGTGAGGACTACTGGCCAACCTATCATGGAGACACAATCTACCACAATGAAAATATGAGAAGAAACAAAAAGGGCCGCCCCAAAAGCACCCGAATCACAACTGAAATGGATACAGCTGAGAAAATGGAAAGATTGTGCGGAATATGTCGTCTTCCCGGGCATACGAGGAAAAACTGTCCAAATGTTGGAACAAGTTCTAGGTAGATTTAATTTGGTCTTTAAAATTTGTGTAATCGTGCAATTTAATATTTATATCAACTTTTCATTACCACAAAAACGAATTGAATTACTTCTACAACATAAAACGCAAATCATTAAAATACAACGATTATTACAACATAACCTAAGATATAACAACAATCAAAGTAATATCATCAGTTCCGAACATCATAGACCTAACTTCGTTGTCATCTCTAATTCGCACCCAGTCACGCCGTATGTTTCCGTCTTCAACAGAGAAGTACGAGACAAGTCTTTCAATACTCCTAATTCTTTCACCATTTGGAATGTCTCCTTCTAGCCACCGATTCAAATTTCTTCGTAGTTGTTCTAAACTCTGAATGTTCCAAAACAACATCCTTATCGGAGGCTTCGTCGGTGAAAAAATTACATGCCCATATCTTCTAAGGAACATGACTCACTCTTCTAAATTTGGATGAAACAATGTTAGCAACATGTCTACCTATTTATAAAAAAAAATTTGGAAAAGCATAATATAATATTTTAATTATATTAATTATAATATATTTAAAAAATTATTTTTGTATAAAGGAGGCTCCATGGGGCATGACGCCCCCCTTTAGGGCATTTAAGGGAGGCTCCAATGGGTATGACGCCCCCTTTATAATTTGTAGGGTGGCTCCAACCTCCATGGCGCCCCCATACAAATTATAAGGGAGACTCCAACCCCCATGGCGCCCCCTTGTAAAAAAAATAAAAAAAATCTAAAAGTAGGGTAGATTGGAGAATATATTGAAAAGTTGGGTAGATTGAAAATTATAGTGTGGAAACTTGATTATTTGGGTAAAAAAATCGAAACAAAATGATTAATAAAGTGTCCCTTTGGCTTTGGCGGTCAATGTTTCACATTAGAGTGTTATGTAGCTTTCCGCTTTATGTGTCTGCCATACCCACAAAGCCTCCAACCCTTCTCTCTCCATTTCTCGCCTAAAAAGAAGAGACAAACATCAAAGAGTCAAACCAAAACATTACTAACAAGGACACACTCCTTGGAATAACCAACAAATTACCTTATATCCCCACAAACCATTCAAAATCTCTATGCCAAAATATTTCTCACTTTTTTAATAACCACTTTTACAAGTGACTAATCTTCATTGCAAAATTTCATGTACACACAGTCAGGGTTTAACCTAGCATATCATAAAAAACACAAAACACACTTAAAAGTAAATAGGTATTTCAATTTAAAGTTAAGTAGTAAAAACAGTTTCTTAGATGGGTGCTCTTCACTCCACATTTCTCTACCTGATTTTCTTACATTCATTCAACATTCTTGCTTACAAGGATCAAGAATGGAACAAAGGCACTGCAACTTACGCCAAAGACACAGAGGGATCCCTCATTACAGGTACTTCACTTCCTTTTCCTTTGGTTCTTTCAGATTAATAATCTTGTTTTGTCAAAAATGTACATGGCTGTTGCGGTTGCGGTGCAGAAGGAGCATGTGGCTACGGAGATCTTCACAAAGCTAGCTATGGAAAACACAGTGTTGGATTAAGCACAATTTTGTTCAACAGAGGAACTACATGTGGAGCTTGCTACGAGATCAGATGTGTTGACCATATCTTGTGGTGTGTGCTTGGAAGCCCTTCTGTCATTGTTACCGCCACTGATTTCTGTCCTCCTAATTATGGTCTCTCAGTTGATTACGGTGGCTGGTGTAACTTTCCAAGACAACATTTTGAGTTGTCACAACCTGCATTTTCTGAAATTGCCAAAACAAAAGCCGATATTATCCCGGTTCAGTATAGAAGGTAGAGATAGAACATATCCAACACACGTTTCGGTTATATATATATATATATATATATATATATATATATATATATATATATATATATATATATATATATATATATATATATATATATATATATATATATATATATATATATATATATATATATATATATATATATATATATATATATATATATATATATATATATATATATATATATATATATATATATATATATATATATATATATATATATATATATATATATATAAAAGTAGAGATTAACTTATTTAAGAGTAATTATTTATTAAAGTTATTTAAAATCATAATTTTTGGATTGAATCGAATTTAGTAGTTAAATTATTTTTTTTTAATTAATCGTTAAATTATATTCAATTTAAAGATTATGACTTGAAATAAACTAAAAAAATTTACTCTTTGAATAAGTTTATCGTCGTCCTCTCTATATTAATTTTATATATATATATATATATATATATATATATATATATATATATATATATATATATGAAAGTTATTTCTTTAATCTGAAGTTGAAATGTTTGTAAGTTGAAATGTTTGTTTGTATAAATGTGATGTAGAGTGAAGTGTGAACGAAGTGGTGGGATGAAGTTCACAATGAGTGGAAGTTCTCATTTCTATCAAGTCCTAATTACTAATGTAGGGCTAGAAGGTGAAGTGTTTGCTGTGAAAGTGAAGGGATCTAGAACAGGATGGATACCAATGGCAAGGAATTGGGGAATGAATTGGCACTGCAATGTCAACCTTCAACATCAGCCTTTGTCCTTTGAGGTAACCAGCAGCACGGGAGAAACACTCACATCTTACAATGTAGCACCATCAAACTGGCAATTTGGACAGACATTTCAAGGAAAACAATTTTAAGGAAAACTATGTATGATTCATGGAATCATGGTACACTAAGATTTGTATATTTGTTCTTCATGATTCATGATCAAATTGTTCCATTGTGAGTGAAAATATGATTGAACAACAGTTTGTATATAAAATCTTATGCTAAATTAATTTGTGATGGAAGTTTAATTTTAAATTGGATTTTAGTTCTTTATTTTATTTTATTTTTATAAAATAAATCAAGAACATTCCTCTTAGAAAAATTATTTTGGTTGTTAGAAAACGTTTATAATGATTTTAAGTCTTATTTAAGGTTTGTTTGATTTAGTTTTAAAAAACTGTTTTTAAAAATTATTTCATTTTTGTAGTTTTTAAAATATAAAAACAAAAATAGTTAAGATGAGTTTCACTTTTTAATATCCACTTTTCATAACTTTAAAATAAAAAGAAAAAAAAAAGGAAAAAGTGTACTATTTATTAATGGTGTTTCATTATAGAATCAGAATTGATCGGAGAATCAGTGGTTGTGATGATCGACAGTAGATTTGAATCTCAGATTGAGGGGATAATTGATTGAATTGTAAGGTTAACACTCTAACGCTCAAGTTAGTATGTGAACGAGAATAGTGAATGAAAATTGAATTCTTAACTGTGTACCAGAAACTATTCGCATGTGTCCTTTATATAATGGAAGGGTAATAACTGTTGTCTGAAAACGCGTGGTGTCACATGCAAGTATACATGTTATTTTAAAATAGCAAGTGATAAAATAGTAAGGATGTAGAACCCACAAGGAGTGGAAATAACTTAGATTGATTTGTAAAAGTGTCGTTTGTAAACGAGTATGAGCAAAAACAATAATAGTTGTTGGTTGTCACAAGTTCAATTTATAAAGTAAACATTAGCAGAAATACTTTGGTAAGAGTAAATGAATTATGTAATGGAGAATATGTTGGACAATGATTAGTTAATATGACTTGTCTATTATGTGTATACGATATGTTATGGCATGCCATAAGAGATTAAAATGTGATCTTTTTGTGTAATTCTACATCATAAATATATGTAAATAAAACAAGAGGACAAATTCCTAAGCCTCACCTGTAACCTTAATGCATGTCTGATTTCATTCTGAATATTCTCTATAATTGTATCTCTTGACGCCTAAAATAACTAATCTAGTGAATATCCGCATCCTACTATTTTCAATCACATTTATCATAAGTTCCACTTATTGCTGGATTCTCCATAACAACAAACTTTCATCTTTTTCTAAGTTAACCAGACAAAGAATTAAATTTAAAACATTATAATGCATGATAAAATAAAATACTAACAACACATCATTCAACACAAAAAACTACTTCATGTTAACTTCATATTGCACAACATAAAAGAGTTTAGCTCATGATGAGCTTAGTACATACACCAACATTGGATCCTAAGTTAAACATTCTTAAGCACGTAATGAAAAAGATATGAAAATCTAAGAGTAACTTCTTCGTCTTCTTGCAATCTCTAATTTGCAAGAGACGAGTTATGTCATGTCAGATGCTAATAGCTTATACTTGAGATGACTAGATGAATAATTCTCCATTATTGTTCAACTTGCCCTATTCACCAATTTTCACCAAGTGTTTCTCTCTCTGAATTCTCTTGGTTGCTAAACCTCTTTTAATTTTCTCCAAGAGGTCCTTTTATAGTCAGGTTCATTTAGGGTTTTGTGGAGTTGTGGATCATGGGTCTTTGAATATTCATTACACTTGACCCATAAGAATCAACAAGTTTCCCTCATATTCTCCATGTTTGTACCGTTGTTGATCAATGTATAACAACATGTGGGAGACAAATCGTTTTGTGGTAGGCTAGTTGTGCAGGAAAACCATCGACGGTGCCTTGCAGTCGTCCTTTGTAGTAGTGAGACAAATTGGACGTTGTAGTGGTTGTACTATTGTGCATAGTTTTCTCTTTTAGCGCCTTGATCTCTTTGTTATTTAATTCAAATGAACTCCATCTCTTTGCTTGGTGCCACGTATGCCCTAAAGCAGTGAGCATCCATTCCTTGCACTCTTCATTTCGTCCAACTTTCTTCTCAAAGTTGGGTTTATAGTGTTGTTCTAGTACTGTCATGCCATGAATCATCAATAATCATCTCTAAATAAGTAACAAACACATAAAAACACACAAATAGGGGCACCTATTATGATCTTTATAATTTAATTAAAAACAACAAAACATACTAAATTAAACTACTAAATAACTGCATTAAAAAGATAAGTTCAGGTGTTAAGGTCTATAACAACTCACAAAAAGTGAGTTATGTTATCATCATCTTCATCCTCTTCCTTGCATTTTCTCAACAACTACACATAATCATTTTTGTTGTGCATTTTGCTTGTTAGAGGTGATAACGTCCAAACATAGGATCGATGTAATCGGGTTTGGGTTGAGAAATCAGTAGGTTTTTCTTGAATAAAAACATTAAGGTTTTGTCCTCCAAGAATCTTGTATTTTTTTTGGGGGGGGGGGGGGGGGGTTGCACGAATCAGTCCATCACATATTCAGCCGAGCGAAGGTAACCGAAGAACGAGTTGTTTTGTCGGTTTAGTAGCGGTAACCGGAGGATTATAAGAGAAAGATTCGGGTTCGAAGCATTGGCGATTAAAATCAGTCTGGCAAGATTTCAAGACCGTGGGGTTGTTCAAAGGGTGTGGCGTAATCGGAGGTTTATTCATCGCGTTCGAAGGACTTGATTCAACTTGAATCAAGAGAAGAGAAGGAATAGGCTCTGCATCAACAATTGAGTTTAATCGTGTGATTTCTCTTTGCTTCTCTTGTAAATATTTACCAACAAGTTATATCTATATACAGGTCTCAATTCTATTTTTAGAATTGAGGGCAGACGTACGTCGAGCGAGAACGACGGGGGAACTGCCTCAAAAAATTGGTGTTCTCTCTTTACTTTTAAATTGCTTAAATTCTGAGTTTGTGTGCAAACAATTATGTTAATCAAAATTCTAATGTGAGTAGTGCTAAACCATTTTTGAAGCCTATTACAATCCTTGATTGTAATTGAACACTTGAGCACTTCACTCTCATATTGCTAAATTAAAGTACAATTACGATTGGAAGGATGAAAATATTATAATCTCCTCCTTGAGAGTTGATGAATACTATAGAGTTTCCCATTGTTTGACTGCTAAGGCTATGTGGGACTCATTACAAGTTGCCTATGAGGGGATAAATGATGTCAAACTGGCTAGAATCAATACTTTGACACAAGAGTTCGATCTCTTTCACATGGAGCAAGGGGAAACCATTGCTGATATGCAAAATATTTTTTCTCACCTAATCAATAGACTAAATTCACTTGGTAGACCAGTTTCCAATGATATTGCTACTGACAAAGTCTTAAGATGTCTTACCAGGGAATGGCAACCAAAAGTCACCGTCATAAAGGAAGCAAATGATCTTATGACCTTGGACCTTACAACACTCTTTGGAAAACTTCAAGAACATGAGCAAGTACTTCTTAGTCCCGAGCAATTTGAGAAAAGGGAAAAGAAGGAGAAGACTAAAAATTCGAAAAAGAAGTTTATAGCTCTAAAGGCTTCTTGTTCAAAGTCCTATGCAAAAGAGCTGAGTGATTGTGATTCGAGTGATGACGAAGATGACGAAAAGAATAAGGACATAAGGTTGTTTGTGAAGCGATACAATCGGTATGTAAAGAAAAATGGTATCCGACATTCCAAAAAGAATCTAGTCAATTTCAGAAAATAATCAAGATCTTCTAAGAATGAGGACAACAAAGGAAGTAGAGTTAGAGGGTCGTGCTTCAATTACGGAAAAGCCAGACATTACAAGCCGGATTGTCCTTTGATGAAAAAGGAAAAAGGAAAGGAGAGTAATCAGTCACACAAGAAGCAAGTTAAGCCTAGAAGAGCTTACATCGCATGGGAAAGCGATAACGAGTCATCCGAGGATGATAGTTCTAGTGACGAAGAAGAATATCTCAACCTTTGTCTCTCCGCTCATTAAAAGAAGAAAAACAAAAAGGCACGACATGCAAAATACAAAAACTCTACTAGATTGTCTCACTCCGAGTTACAAACTGTCTTTGATACCTTACACCATGAAGCCAAGGAAGCCTTTATATGGATGGCCTTAAACAAACAAATTTTTGCTTACTTAGAGCAAAAGATTCTCGATTCCGAAAGGAAATTAGAGGCTCTAAAGGCTTCCATAGTAGAAGGAACAAAGGTGGATTGTGAGGAAGTAAGAAAAAGAGTGGTTAACTTCGGGTGTGATACTTGTTACATTTGGCAAAATGAGGTTAGAAATCTCAAGGCCAAACTTAAAAAGGCTCTAGAACCCAAAATCACGTTTGTTATTGATATAGCACATCTTAGAAAAAGTATGGTTAATCCTTATCAAAAATATACATATGTGGTCAGAAATCAAGATAGCAAAAGTGATACAAGAGTTAACTTTACTTGCTTGTATTGTTGCAAGAAGGGTCACACCATTGCTAAATGTCGCTTTAGGAGAGTTTTAGTTCCTAAAGGGGTTTATCAATGGTTGCCTAAATGCAACCAAGATTTCACTCACAACCAAGTACCCAATAAGAAATTGGGTACCTATTTCGCTGATTATTTTTATAGGTACAAAGTCTTGAGACTACCGAGAGAAGATGGGTTCTCGACAGTGGATGCTCAAGACATATGACAGGAGACATATCTCTCTTCATTGACTTTGTGGCAAAGAAGAAAGGATTTTTAACCTATGGAGACAACAACAAGGGAGAAATACTTGGAAAAGGTAGTGTAGGTAATCCCTCATCTACTACTATCTCTGATGTATTGCTAGTCGAAGGCCTTAAACACAACCTCATTAGCATTAGTCAATTATGCGACAAGGGATGCAAAGTATCTTTTTTCAAAAGATTGTTGCTTAATTGAACACAATGATAAAAAGAAGAATGTGTTTAATGGCTTGAGGGTAAATAATGTCTATATGCTAGACTTGAGTGA